ATCTAACAGGTGTGCAAAAATCAGGGAATTTGTTAATTTCAAAAAAAGGAATCATCATGTAGTATTATTTTGGTGGAGATATAAACCTGACAACACTCTGCACAATTCCTAGTAAAATTAGTATGATTATATCCTAAGACCCAGCAATATTGCTTTTGGACAATATTGCCTGAAGAAACTGTCACCAATAGGTTCAATTATAACTAGGCTCCTTAGGAAAAAATGAATACATATTACATGAAAGCCAAAAATATTTATAAAAAGGTAGACTATCATGTTCCTAAAGTCTGCACATTCCCTACGATTTTAACTGAACCTTTGCTGAAAAGATAGGTAAGATTAAATAAAATGTTATCATTTCTCTTCATAGGTGGGGTTAAGAACAGAGAAAGAAGCAGATGTAATGAGGGGAATGTTTTAGTGTGGGGACTGACAAACCTGAGTCCAAGTCCAAGTGACTTGGGTAAATTACAATCTCCTTATTGGGTGATCGCTTTGTCAGTTATATAAATGTCTAACCACTATGTTGTACACCTGAAACTAACAATATTGTAAGTAAACTGTAACTGAAAAACAAAAATAAACAAATATTTTTAAAGAAGAAAACACAACCATAACAAAAAAGTTACAATCTCTGCCTTAGTTTCATCATCTATAAAACGGGGATATACCCACCCTGAAAAACACCAAGAGGATTAGAGATACTCCATGTAAAGTGCCTAGCACATATGAGGTGTCCAATAAGTAGGAAGTGATTTTTTTTTTAACCAGAAAAAAGAACATCATGCATTAATTCTAAAAGATTTTGGTGCCTTGCCTAACCCATCTTAAACAGAATACCCAAGCGACAGCAACAGGCACAGAAACCAGAGATTGACTCAATATAAACTTACATGTCAGTTTTTTCCACTACAGAACAGGGATAAATAATAGTCATCCTTCCATATATTTACTGACAACTGTAAAAGGTAAGGTCAGCAAGCCTCTCTCAGCTTCTGGGACATGACTATAAGGCTGCTGCTGGTGGTAGTTTCGCCAGTGGCAATTCTGCAACTTGTGTCAGAGTCCTGACTCTACAAACATAAGGAAGGGATATTCACAGAAGTGCTGTAGGGAAAATGCTTAGAAGAAACCCAGTTACCCATGAATGGTAACTGCAAGACCTCCACACTGATTGTGAAAAACAACCCGGAAACCAAAGCAGGTCCAAAGTCAGGACTTTACACATACATTTGTACGTTTAATGTACAACAAAAAGGAAAAATTTCACCTGGGAATGTTTATAACCTAATGGAGAACACACTGTACATTTTACATCACCATTTCGGTATTTTCAACCTGGAGCAGTTCTTTTACTTTCTTCCTGATTTCCAACCTGTGGGCTTCAAGGGCCAGGCAGAAGTCTGTAGACCAAATCCCTGTCTCATATATACATATATGTACTACTATTTTACACATACAGGAAGATGCTGTAGTCATTACTTACAATATATATTCAGTTGAATGACAGCAAAGTGTCAATTTGTCACTACATATTAGCAATCATCAGAAATAAGTAAAACTCTAAACAAACCAAAATCTCTGAAATATTTTGAGTATTAAATAAAAGCGTCCCAATTTTTGTAAGGGTTGAGAACCGCTGCTTTAAAGTCTACAATTTCCAATTAAAGATAATTTCTATTTTATAATAGGCATGAAGGGAAGAGAGAGAGCATTTTGAAAAAATGGAAATCCTAACACACATTTATCTCCACTCCTAGTCCTCGCTCGGCCATAAACTTTTCCTTGGCATTTAACATCAAAGCTAGTTACCCTTTCATTCTTAGTTCACAAGCTATGTAACTGTCCAAACCGGACAGAAATGGCAGTGCACTGTGTATGAAGAAAATATACATATATCATTTCGTTCCTCACTTATAAAAGAAAGATAGTTCACTTTGTCTTTCTTCCCCTCTACCTTCTCCCTTTTCCTGATGCTTTGACACAATTCTACAGAGGGAAAGTTATAGATTACTACAGATACTCCAATTGTTGAAGAGAAAATAAATATTTTGTCCAGCATTTTCCAGTGCAGTGAAAATGTACCCTAAACTTTAATTTATATTCTCCTCAATGCAACATAGCTAAAGGGAACCTCAACTTTAAGCACTGCAAAGATAAGAAAAATAAAATTATTTCCATCTGGGAAATATTACAAAAATATTTAATATATAATTTAAAGTGTACATGGGTTTGCTCATGTCTTTCTGTAATATCAGCTTTTAAGTAGGTTATCCTGAACTAGGGGGAGTTGGGAAGCTATGTATGATACATATATCATAGGCAGATGTGGGGAGTGTCATATACATTACTTATTAATTTATGGTTTCTTTTTGAGACATAAACTGTCCTAGGGATAAAACCAGAAGTGTTGTTTAAAATATGCTAATCTGACCCTTCAAAAAGATTCTGTTTACTAAGGCCCGAAATAAATATCTGTAAATTAAAATATGCCATTAGAATTTTGGCAGCAGAAAAAAAAATCACATTGATGCAAACACAGCTAAATCTAGTCAGTAATACAGAGGAAATGTAAATTTCAAACATGGGAGAAACAAAACAAAACAAAAAAAACAGGAGTTCTGGGAGGAAGGAGTGGAAAAGACCTGGAGATGTAGGTAAGGCTAATCTGTCTTCTGGAACAGCTAAGGACCACGCAAATCAGCACTGCCATCTCTTCTTAAGAGCAACTTTCCAGATTACAAAAGAGCCAAAGATTACAAATCAAAAGGCTCTTGTTCAAGTCCCAGCATCTCCATTCACTATTTAGTATGACCACTGACAAGTCAAATTTTGTCAACCTCAGTTTCCTCTCTTGGTAAAATGGAGTGCACGAATCCTACTTCACCAGGCCATTACAAGAAGTAACAACACTTTATAAATGAGCTATAGAAAATGTGCTCTGTAAACACAAAATAAAGATCTATAGGCCTGTTATTATTATTCCTGGGTTATTACTTATTATTACATTCCACTAGGGTGAGGGTAAATCCTGTTCCTAAATAGAGAATGGTTTGGAAGGCCAGTCACAAAGGATGCTCTTATTTATCTGGAAGCAGAAAGACATATGCAGAAACAAGTGCTCAAAGAAATGAACCAGAGGGCTAGGTGTATAGACCTCAGTATAAAAACAGGCAAAATACTATGGTTGTACAGGTCTTTCAAGAGTCTCTCTTAGTAACTTGTTTTCACTTTTAATCTCACATTCTATTTGGCAAGAAAAGAGGCATAAACCCCGACATCTCACCATTAAATTCAAATTTACGAAGTCCATGTCTATCTATCTAGAAAGAGATGAAATTGCTCAGTTCTCACAGTATATCTTGGCTATTTACTCCTAACACAATTATGCCAATTATTGATATTATCACAATTCTCAAAGCAGGTGCATTTTTTAAAGGGATTAAAGTTCTAAAGGACTATTGGAATAATGGGATCTTATCATTCAAATTACCTCCATACAGCTGATAGAAAGAAGAAAAAAAAAAAAGAGGAGGGTGCAGTACAAATTCCCCAGGCCACCTGACTGACTACAAAAGATTTCCCTTTCAAAGCAAAAATTAATTATGCAGAAAATATATTTTATTATAAAAATTTCAAGTTAGAATGGTATAGTCAGCATGTGACATCATGAATTTAAATTCTACAGCTAACCCTGCTTCCTGAGAAAGCTTGGCCACCCAATAAGCTGAAGGAGCTAGGTGCATGTAGGACTGTGATTAAGCACTCCCCTATGTACTACAGAAGGAGACCCTTCTTTGCAGAATCTCACTTTCCTTCTTTCTGATCATTTGCTCACACCCCATCCTCCAAAATAAGAGTAAGATGCTACTGGCTTTAACATTGTTCAAACATTTAATTTCAGGCCATACAGTCTTCTCATCGAACTGGTTCTTCCCAGCCATCCCCACTTCCTTAGTGTCCCCCCCATAAGACTGGAGTTTCACCAGGTAGATTAATATAGGTGGGGAAACAGGGCCCAGCTTCCACTGGGGGACAAGTCAGTCTGACTTAATCTGCAGAGAGAGGAGCTGCCAAGGAAAAACAAGCAAAAAGTCTGTGCATAAAACCAACCGTTTCTATAGTGTTTGTTCTCCACCTACGAACATCTGGGATGGAGCAAGGTATGAAATTATAATCTACCTGGTGAATTTCAGAAAAGTTACTCTCAGTTTTACTCTGATGAAAAGTGGAATGTAATGAATAAAGATGTCTGGCGCCTACCTTTAAAAGTACCCTCTGTCTCAGCAAGCGAGCCTGGCTCAGAAACCACAGCTGGAGTTAACAAGCCAGACACCAGACTAAACACCTCAGAACTAGCTGTCCCTCATCACTACCTTTCCGGTGTGTGTCTGCATCACGAATTCCCTCAGTTCCTGAGGGCCTGGCTCTCCCAAAATAGAAAGCAAAAGGGGGGGTGGGGGGCTCCTGTATTTCACGGCTGAAGAGGTGGGATTTCTGAGCCTAGACACCAAGACTCCAGCTCTCCTTTCCACCTTACACTTCACCCACAACTCAAGTTCCTGCTCTCCCTGGGTCCCCACCTTTCACACTCACACCACACTTAATTACACCCAAGCCTCCCAGAACATTTATGTAGATAACCCCAGGCCAGCGAGCCAGGAACAAAGAGCCACTGCTTCAGGCAGCGGGAGGAGGCGGAGGCGAGGGTGGAGAGGACAGCTGGGGACTCCGGGAAGCTTCCCGGGCACAGCCAGCCAGCCTGGAAAGCTCCCACCTCGCGTGAAGCCCAGGCAGGTCCCACCCGGGCTCAGCACCCTGAGCGGCGCAGCACCAGAGTCTGGCAGAGACCCTTGTGGATGAAAACAGTAAGGGGGACGCAACCAAGAAAATGCACTCCAGTCCGGCTGCAGCGCGGAGCCAGAGGTCCGCACACGGGGCTGCGGCCAGTGACAGCCCAGCGCCCGGCCCCACGGGCTCCCCGATCCGGCCCCACGCACCTGGACCAGGCGGCCACCCTGCTCCCTCAGGGCGCTCTCCGGGGACTCAGCTTCCGGTGGGCTCCACAGGCTGGAACCGGTTGCGACACGGAGACTTCACTCCTCCATCCTGGGACCCAGCAGCACGTTACAGACAGCCGTGTACTTCCTGTTTGAAAACACAGGGGAGAGAAAGAGCAAGAGAGACCCAAGTGTTGGCGGAGTGGAAGGAGGGACGCAGACCAGCCAGGAGGGAGGACCGGGGGGCTGCGGGTTGCATAACCGCCGCCCTCCTCGCCATGGTCTGCACCAGGCGCTCTCCCCACGGGTGGGGACCCGCCACACCGCGACCCGCGAGCTGGCTCCCCAGGGCCCGGGCCTCCCCCTGCCGGCGGCCTTGCAGCCAGCCCAGCACGCTCGCAGCCCTTCCGTTTCCAGCCCCAGCCGAGGGCTCCCCTCCTCACATGTACCTAAGTCAATGCACTACAGGCTTCCTCCAAAGGGGCCCCAGTGCAGTCTGCCTCCGTTTTCCTTTTTACCACTCCCCACCCCCGCCCCTGAAAGAAAGCGCCTTGGGGAAGGTGTAAAGACAAGACTGAGCCTTTCCAGGGGGGTGGAGGCTGGATTTATGCAAAATTTTAAAGCTAACAGCCACATCCCAGTATATCCCCTCCAGCCCCGTGGTCTGAAGAGCTTCAGGATGGGAAACTACTTGTCTTGCGCCTGGCTGACTCAAAAGGGTGTGCAAACAGCTGCCAAGAACTGGGCGGGGGGAGGAGTACTCCAGGTTCCTAGGATCTCTCTACAGGGATCCTCACCCTCTCTGTCCCAACATTTACGTATACAATTTCCACGCAAAAGATAATCTTATAACGCACTGTTCCAGAAAGCAATTAAATATTTCTCTGTGCATTAGAATCAACGAGCAGTTCCCCACTTCTGGGTTTATGTGCATTTTGTTACCCTCTGATTTAGGTGAAGTTCAGAGTAGTTTTAAAAAATAGTTAACAGGAGGTTTAAGAATCTGCCACACGCAGAGTGCGCCAGCTCTAGGAGTTAGCACATGTTTTCAGTGGCCCGTTTCTGAGCTGAGCTTCCCAGTGTGGACAGCTTCATTTGCACCCTGCCTACCTCTGCACACGTATCAGGTTACAAGGCACTTAGAGGGTTGTCTCCGATAAAAAGTTGCTTTTATCATCAAGCTGATGACTTCAATAAGTTATTCACGTCTCAAAAGTCAGCGTGGAGAATGGGATATAAAGGATAATTATTCTACATTAAAAAAGCTAAACTGTGACTGAAGTAGAAAGAAATGGATGGACATTACATTCCTACTCAGTGCTGGACGGCATCTCATTTTAATCTCCTCTTAGTCTTAACATTTCCCAACAGACCTGCAAAAGTCCTAGTCTCATATTCCCAATTGAGGAAACAGGGTCAGAGAAGTTCAGTAACTGTCCCGATCGATGTCTCAGCTAGAAAGTGGTCAAATGGCGAGTTGAATAACAGGTCTTGCCTAAGTATAAAATCTGGGCCATTTCCTCTACACTCTGCTAATTCTCAAAACAGCAGTGAATTCTGGGAGGCAAATCAAGCCCAGCGACCACCTGTCATCCTCTCCTTCATCACAGAATGATCCTGCAATTTATATGCTATCACTCTATAGAATGAGCTAGGTTGGTTCCGACCCCACCTGGGAAATATGTACCTTGATTACCCAAGCGGAGGACACTGTGCTCTTTCCCATTATCTACTACTGGCTCCGTCAGCCCTTTTAGAATTGCTCAGTGGCAGAAGTTCAAAAGGTTCTAGGATAGCCACTCATATGCCAAGGTACAAAGTCTGTCCGGTTCAGAACCTAATCAGCAGAAATATTTGTTTCTTGAATTCTTTTTCTTTAACAACAACAACAACAAAAAAGACATGCATGGCCTCAACTTTTACTGAAACTGCTTAAATTTCTCATTTTCCATTCCCTTCTCCTTTAGCATTTAGTCCACACTCACCTGTAAGCAGCACGCCGCTATGAGCCTCCTGGCAAGCCAAGAAACAGAGCACATATTAAAAAGTGATTAAAAATCTTGGCAATGCTGAGACTCCAGACACTTGCAGAGAGAGTGAGGGAGAAAGTGAATGCTTTTGTCTTGTGTCCAGATGAAATGCACCTCACTGGCCCTTCCCCATCACCTCACTAAGCAGCACAGACTCTGGGGTTGTAGAGCATGAAGGTGAAAGGCAAGGGCACTTCAAGTGTGAAGCCAGGGTCCTCAAGTGTGATGGCAAGGGCCCTCCGGGAGGGGCAGAGATGCATTCCCACCCTTCAGACACACACAAGCTAACAAGGGCTTCTTTCTAAAAACTTCCTGAGGGTTCTTAGCATCCTTTTAGGGTCCAGCTCTGCCTCTGCTGCCACCTTTTCCTTCTCAGAGTCCCTTGCTTACCTTTCAACTCTTCATCTTTCACAAACTTAATGCTTCTTCCCAAAGCACTGCCATTTCTTTCTCACAAAGTACCCGGTGGGAGGAAAGCAGGAAGAAGGGCATTTAGCTCCAAACTTCTCTCACTTCTCTCTCATTTAAAAAACCCTATCAATAATTACCATGTTTTTTAAAAATGTAACTCTTATTTTAAAATACCTTTTGGTATTCCTGCCTTCATTTCTGTTACTCATTATAACTCCTAGAGCCTAGAAGGAAAACCTCTGAAGACAAATGAAATTCTTAAGAAAAAGCAAAGGAAACATGCTTAAATTAACCTGTATGGATCCCAAAGTTTATAGTTAGGATAACAAAACACTCCTAAGATTGCATCAGTTCCCAATATGTTTCCTAACAACAACACAGCCTAAGGATCATATGGTACTTCCCCATGTCTCAGCTATTCTCCTGCTCCTTCTGTGTCTCATGGGGAAGTGTTTCTGCCTTGCCACTACTGAATAGTATACACACACACACACACACACACACACACACACACACACGTGTGTGTGTGTGTGTGTGTGTGTGTGTGTGTGTGTGTGTGTATATATAAAACTCACAACCTCATAAGAGAAAAATATATGCTCCCAGGTAGGCACAAATAATACCACAAAAGACAAAACTGATTTTGGAAAACTACTGAAGGTTCATTTTGAAAGTCTCCATTCCGAGTACCACAGTCCACGGGTGAAGACAGCAACACTGTCAGAGCCATTTTAGAGGCTCTAAATTACGTGCAAAGAGATAGCTTTTCAGAGGACTACTGGGTGTGGTGGAAGAGATGATAAATTCATATCCGAAACACTGCTGCTTATCTTTCTTCATCTTAGAAAAACCTTGCTTTAGTGGTAAAAAATGTTTGCCACAAGATTTCTGTGTGAGGATTCTTGGTCATCATCACAGCTCGATTTTTCAAACAAGAAAATTAAACGTGGGCTGGCCGAGTGGCGTGTTGGTTAAGAGCTGGCTTGGGACGCCAGAGGGCCCCGGTTTGGATCCCACATATGAGGGCCAGTGACATTGCCCTCTACAGCTAAGATGCTGAACAACAGCTCAACCTGGAGCTGGGATGCCATGGGATGCCATGAGTTGCCGGCAATGGCGTAGGCTGCAGCCCCTGCTGCAGTGGGTTGCCATGGGCTACCGTATGTAGCCAGCAGCCAGCATGAGCGG